AGGGGGGGGACCCCGGGCTCCGAGTTCTGCCTCGTCCTCCTGCTGCTCGCGGTGCTGCCGGACTGTGCGCGGGGGACGCCCTGCGCCTGGGAGCGCGGAGGTGAGTTCCTATGGGGTCTCAGCGGCGGGCGCGGGGAGGGGGGAGGGAGGCAGCAGAGGCTTTAAACTCGCGGGCAGAGCCCATGGCCGGTCCAGAACCTTCCTCCTCCGTCCCCTCCTCGGTCTCAGTCCCACCTCGGCGTCCGGGCAGCTGGTTGCCTCCCGGGCAGAAGGGACAGGAAGAGGCGGCAGGAGAGAAAGTGATGCGGGGCCGCTGGCCGGGAGCAAAGATGGAAAGGGCGCTGCGGTTCCCAGTCCGCTCTCCCGCCCGCCCCGGTCGTGCTTCTGGGGAACTGGGACCCCTGTCCCGGGACCCGGGCGCTTCTCAGAGTCGGACCCACAGTCAGGAGCCCCCCTTCCCACAGCACATTCATCCAGCCCCGCATCACGGCACTCTGTCCACCTGTGAACTTTCCGGGCGCTCTGCTAGCAGTTTCCGGCTGCACACTAGTCACCGGCCACCTCTCCTCTGGAGCCTGTGCTCTGCAGGTCCTACCTCCCCCCACTCTGCACCAGCCTGTCCCACTCCTGTTCCCTCGGGAGCCCCGTGGGGTGTGGGTGGTTTTGTGGGTGTCATCAGGCAGGCTCGGTATTCAGGAGGCATCTCTCTTCCCCTCTCCTGGGCTGCGGGTGGTGGGGACGGTGGGGTAGAAAGTGGACTGGCAGTGTGTGTCTAGGCTTGTGGTCTGGGAGGCGGCTTGAGTAGACGGAAGAGCGGCAGGGAGAGGCGGGGTGAGATGCCTGAAGACCGGAGGCAGGGGTGGGAGGATGTAAGGCAGGAGGCGGGGCTGGAGGATGTAAGTCAGGAGGCGGGGCTGGGAGGACGTAAGTCAGGAGGCGGGGCTGGAGGATGTAAGTCAGGAGGCGGGGCTGGGAGGACGTAAGTCAGGAGGCGGGGCTGCGGAACAATGTGCAGCTCTGATTGGCGGGTTGGAAAAACGTAGTGGGAGGCGGGCTCGAACTTGCTGGGATTCCACCTGCGCTCATTCACTGACGGCGGATCTCTGACTCCCGTTCTCTTCTCCTGGTCACGAAAGCGACACCCCCGGAAAAGAGCGAGGAAGGAACGGTCTCGGCCTGGGACTCTCTTCCCCGGCCCTCTGCGCCTCACGTCGCCCG